TGGACTCATGCAGACCTCACCACAGATTTTTACAACACAGGCCTGCGCGTTTTCCTCAGAGCCTGATCTGCTTCACAACAGTGGACAGCTGAGGCCATGCACAGCAGGAGCAGATCAAGGACATAAAAGGTCCTGGAAAGGAGCTTTTGAGAACTGTTAGGAGGAACATCTCACCTTCCTTTCTGTGGATATAAATATGGAAAACAAGGCAGCACGCGTCTCTGGAAGTATCTGCCACACACACACACACACACACACACACACACACGTGTTGGAATCGCATCACCCATGCCATTAACAAGACAAAGGGACAGCAAAAGCCCCAAAGGTTAAATTCAAGACTCAAAAAAATAAGGCTGGGCAGGAACGAGGCCCAAGGGGTCAGAAGCAGGAGCACTGGGCCCATACGATCACTACTCTCTCTGCCTAGCACTGGGGTTGTGGCTGCAAGGAGTTTTTGATGTCTCTAAGCTGCGATTCAGTCACGTACCTTTTGGTGCTTGTCCCGCCTTCCGCTTCAGAGAGGAGCCTGGGGGCTGGTGCTGAGGTAGAGATTCTTTACCTGCTGGAAGCTTCTGGGCACTGCAGTCTTTCTGCACACGCCGATTCCTAGCCCGTTCGGCAACTTGTCCAGCAGCCTGATGCATGTTGACTTTGGCTTCTAGGTCCCCTATTGGGCAGGTGAAAGTTTCATCCCCTGGGTTTAGGAAATGACTTCCTTGGCAGGGCCTCTGAACATGTTCTGTGCAAACCTTACGGCTTGCGTCAAACGCTCCGCTTCCACCAGGAGGAAGATCAGCTGCAGTCGGCCACGTAATGCAAGTCATTTCTGCCTCTTCTGTCCCGCCAACTGCAGAGACGGGCACTCTCGCCTTGCCTGTCTGCAGCTTCTCAGCACCCCCCTCGCAATTCTCCTTCTCACTTTGAGAATCATTTGACAAGCGAGAATGGACTTCCTTTCGTGTCATGGTGCGCAAGCTCTCGGGAGGTTCTAGTGACACGTTCCCTGCAGGTTTGCAGGCAGAGCCATCTCTGCCCCTTCCTCTCCTTTGGAGCCTTCCCTTACCTTGTTTGGGGGCAGTGATGCTGTTCTGAGAAGTAGGCCCAGAGGAGGTACCGCTCTCATCTGAGAGAGGGAGAGATTTCTGGGAGGAACTCTCTGAACTTACAGTATCAACTTCTCTGCCTACAGCTGGAACCAGAGCACCCCCCGACTGCACATCACTTCCCGCTGTCTCTTGAGGGGGAAACGGCTGATCTGAACTTGTTTTGTTCTGTTTACATTTGCTTCGCACGCCTTTCCTGCCCCTGCCCTTGCCCAGCTGGCTGAGAATTACAGCTTCCAGGTCTACCTTCCTCTGGCAGTTAGACATACGCCGAGTTGTCCTAACGTAGTACTCCACAGGGAAGAGGAGTCCTTCCACCACTGTACAGGAACTCAGTGCACTTTCTGCTTCAGGAATCGCTGCTTTTTCAAGGAGAGTTGACTCTGCCTCAGGATGAGCCTCTTGATTCTCCAAGGCTTTCTGAACAGCATTACCCTGAAAAGAGTCCACAGTGAGAAAGCTCTTAGTGTCAACCTGGCTGCTTCCTTTAGGGCTTCTGCTCTCAATCACAGGGCTCTTTCTGCTGTCTAGCAAGGGTTTATTTTCTGAAGTTAAATGCAAAATTCTACAGGCTTCTCCCTGATCCACATCTGCACTCTCATTTTCAATTTGGCTTTCTATATGTACACGTTCTTTTCCTGCATCGTCAGTGTTTTCAAATGAAACAAACATATCATTCTCTGAACACTGGGTTGTTGGTTCACAGAGGTCCTCTGCATGTAAAGACATCATCTGCTGAGTGTTGTCGTCATCCATCGATGCACACAGAAGTTGCCTGGATGCTTCGAGACAGCCATTTTTGGGGGGCATGTTGTGCAAGTCTCCTTTTAACAGTGGATCTTGAGGAGTTCCTTCCTGCCTCACAGCAGTTGGCTTGGGGGAATTTAGAGGGCTCTTCTCTGTGTCTGAGATGTTTCTTCTCTTAAATACTGGTGACACTGTCCTAGCTGTTTGATTTTCCAATAACTCACTAGCCATAATTTCTAGCCCATCACAAACTGATGTTTTCTCTTCTGACACCAAAGACGTCTCCCTCTGTTCCGTTTCAGTTCTATGCAGTTGGCTTTCATCTCTCTCAGAACTAGGTCTGCTAGGGCCAGAAAGGACATCTTGTTGGCTACCGTTTGTACCTTCTTCCCATGGACTTTCCTGAAAGCTAATTTTATTATTGAAGCATTCAGGTTCCAGTTTAAACGAGACAGACAGTTTCTTCTTGGTGTGCAGGTCACAACAACTATTAGTCTGTAGCCAACACGTTTCAGATTTATCGGGAGGCATCTTATTCAGAGATCCTGTTGAAAGAAATGCAATTTGTGAATAGCATTCTGGGAGCAGAATCTCCCTGTGACTTAAGGCAACAAACAAAAACCAAATGAAATTTTAGCAAAAGTGGAAAACTAAGGACTCCTGGAGAAATTATTCCCTAAGCATTTTATTTTAGGCAAAGAAAGCAGGCACACAAAAACATTATGCTCCGTTTCCTAACGGCACACCAAAAATATACATATTTAATAAGAAAATGATGCCCTAGAAGGTAGATAGTACAAGCAGTCCTCGACTTACGACGTTTCGAGTTACCACCTTTCGCACTTGCAACGTTCATAAATTGACACCCTGTTTCGACTTTCTGACGTCAGTTTCGACTTGACAGCGCTTGATCCGATGCGACACCACGCCAGCAACAAGTTTGCTGCGTCGCCCATCTCCCTAGAGAACATCTGTCCAAACTTCCTTGGACACGTTCTTTAAGAAAGCAGACAGGACTCCAGAAAACCCTGCAGCCGAGACTCCTGAGAAGACTCCAGCCAAGAACCCTTCAAAAAGTCCAGCAGAGTCACCTCAAAGAAGTCCTTCCAAATCAAAAGGATTGCTATTTACAATATAAATACATTAATGTAGCTGTATTACCCATTTATAATTGATTGAGTACAAAATTTGGGGGTATTTTTGGTGCAAATAGGGCATTGGGCCTTGGCTCAGGAACCAATCCTGCATTTATAACATTGTTTCCCATGGGAAAATTGGTTCCAAGTTATGACGTTTCGATTTAAGACGTGGTTTTCAGGAACCAGCTGTGTCGTAAGTCTGAGGACTGCCTGTACGGTATATGAATCATCTCTGGAGTCCTCACTTCCCTCTGAAAGGGATGGACATTCATAGCTTCATCCTGGTCACTGTCACACCTGCAAATATCGGCATAACTGGCCGCCTATGCTGGAGAAAGCCCCAACAAAGGAACACCAGGGTGCTACAATCCTGACCGAGGCAGATCCGGGGCGGGACGGGATTGCACGAGGCCAGGATAACGTTGGACACTATTCAGCAGCACCACGTGTTGGGTGTGCCGTGGGCAGACGGGGCGGCACGTAAACAGCAAGGGACAGCTCAATCAGAAGCGAAGTTGGCAGAGCTGGGAGGGTCCTCACGGCTGCGCACGGCACGGGACAGCGAAGGGGCACGGACAGGTGGGCCTGCACCGCGGACCAGCGGGAAGAGCTACAGCAGCAGGATGTCTCTACAAGACCAAGCTGTTAAAACACGCCTCGAGTTGCCTTTGAACCCCGTACCTGTGAAGCCCTTCTCCGTCTCCTCTCGTCCGAGCAGCCCGTTTTGTTCCGCGACCGCGTCCTGCACGAGCGCGTGAACCGTCTCCGCCCTCTGCGCGCGCTGCGGGGACACGACCGAGCGCACGGCTTTATTTCCCGCGCCGTCGTTTCCGGTGAAGGAGAAATGCTCCCGCGCGGCCGGAAACGCGTCCTCCCCCAGTCTCAGCCGCGCGCGCTCGCCCGGCACCGAACCCAGCGCTCGGGAGCCCGTCGAGCGTCGTCGTTCAGAACGAGACAACGGGATGGGGAGCGACCTACCTGCAGCCTGGTCAGCGTTTTGCTGTACTCTCGTTTCAGCAGGGCGAGCTTCTTCTTCAGCTAGAAAACAAAGACAAGAGACCGCGCGCGTCAGCGGGGCGCCGACCGTCCTGGACCACGTACCACGAACCGCGGAGAATTCGTAAAAAGCAGGAAACGTGGGCTCTGCTCCTACGGGCCAACGCGTCGCTCTCAGCAGTTTGCCCCGACGGGGACAGAACGGTTTACAAGCAGCGTCTCGCCGATCACGCCACGCACGTCTCTGCCCAAACCA